GTTAAAACTACAATTGTCTCGAACATTTTTATGTAAATTATTAATAAGTAATAGCATGGTTTTTCGTGAAATTTGGATAAAAATGCACTCGCGAGTTTTTCAAAGACCTCAAATAGCACTCGTCCTTCGGACTCGTGCTATTTTGAGGTCTTTGAAAAACTCACTTCTGCATGTTATATCCAAATTGCACTCGAAACCATGCCATTACCTATACATACTATACTATACTATAAACGTTTATAAAATTAACAAAATACATAGCTACAATCCTGGAAAAAACATCTGCGGTACTTCCAATTATACTTGACAAAATATCGTAATGTTATCGTAAATTTAGAAAACCTCCCCCTTCCCCCCACCATTCAATGTTGATTGGATTCGTAGAATACGGATAAAACGTCCAACATTGTTTTTGGGGGCGGAGGGGAACAAACGAGTAAATTATTCCGGTCTAACTGGTAAAAAAAGCCACAAAGGAATGTTTTAATAGAGTGTCGCAGATAGTTTTGTCCTGGATTGTCTGAAATGAGTCGAAATTACATTCTTTTATATTTCGCTTGTTATACATGTCCTTGCCATGTATTTTGAGTTATGCGCAATGCTCATGACCTACTTATATTCATAATTACATCAAGTACCTTATTTCATTAATTAAATACGTCATGAATACCTTAGTGTTTTGGAGGGGGTAATAATGTGTGGTAGAATATACAATACAGTATATTATTTTTAATTTTAGCAATTAAAAGCAACGAAATGTTGCGGAAATAATTGAGAAAGTAAAAGTATCGCGTTCTAGTCGATTCGTTGCAATAGTTCAGAAAATAAGAAATATATGTGGGTCATATTTGTTAACTGTATATATATAAGACCTGCAAGACACAATAGACAACCTATAGTCGACCATGTGAGAAGGTGCCTAGACGGACATGCAAACGATCAGTGAATGAGATGCAATGTACGACACAAAAAATATATTTTCATGAGAGTTCGTGCAACTTATATATTGATAGGTTATACATTCAGTCTATACAGAGACGAATGCGTGTGGTATCCAGTAGAACTAAAGGACAATAAATTCAATATAGTTACCGCGTTTCTGGTATTTACTGCATATTATATTTAGAATATTAAGCGAGAACTATATAATTGTGAATTATGCATTTTGACACAAGTTTTCATGGTGTGGTAAATCAATGCTCATATTTTCCCAATGTCATACCTAACGGTGTACCACTGACCAATACACTAAGACTGTGATAATATCCTCAGTTATGGGATATAATACAAACCAATGCAATGGACTTGAAAGAACGTGTGTTGCTTAGTATTCCAACTTACTTCAGACAATATTTAGCGCGATAATTTTAAAATACTTCACGGTGTATTATTTTCACCCTACAAAAGGTTATATATATATATATATATATATATATATATATATATATATATATATATATATATATATATATATATATATATATTCTTATATGTTCACGCTGTACCATAGTACACCGTCAATGCGCATGCGCTATTATACGACAATAACAAAATCGGATTAGTCATTTAGTGCGGCGGTCACGCAATATATTTCCACTCAACAGCTAAGCGTTAGTCTGTCTAACAACACAAATAAGTATGGATAAACGCATTTTAGAATATTCTTAGTGCAAAATAGTTGGTATATACACTATGAGGTACATTGACTTGCTCTCCGACGTATATTAAATGCGCGCAAGTCCTCGCATATGATTCTTAATCGCATTCTACACAAGCTATCGAAGCATAGCGTTGCATGAGGGTATAATATTACCTTGTTGACCATGTGGTATTTGCTTCATCAAGCCTAATACATTATAGTGAGCCATAGTTACTACGGGAAGAGAAAGTCCTGCATAAAACACAATTTTTAATGCGCAATGCCTTGGTTATTGAATTTGAAAAATACAGCCAATCCTGGACAAAACCATCTGCGACACTCTATTAAAACATTCCTTTGTGGCTTTTTTTACCAGTTAGACTGGAATAATTTACTCGTTTGCCCCCCCCCCCCCTCCGCCCACCAAAACAATGTTGGACGTTTTATCCGTATTCTACGAATCTAATCAACATTGAATGGTGGGGGGAAGGGGGAGGTTTTCTAAATTTACGATAACATTACGATATTTTGTCAAGTATAATTGGAAGTGTCGCAGATGTTTTGTCCAGGATTGTCTGAAATGAGTTGAAATTACATTCTTTTATATTTCGCTTGTTATACATGTCCTTGTCATGTATTTTCAGTTATGCGCATTGCTCATGACCTACTTATATTCATAATTACATCAAGTACCTTATTTCATTAATTAAATACGTCATGAATACCTTAGTGTTTTGGAGGGGGTAATAATGTGTGGTAGAATGTACAATACAGTATATTATTTTTAATTTTAGCAATTAAAAGCAACGGAAATGTTGCGGAAATAATTGAGAAAGTAAAACTATCGCGTTCTAGTCGATTCGTTGCAATAGTTCAGAAATTAAGAAATATATACGAGTCATATTTGTTAACTGTATATATATAAGACCTGCAAGACACAATAGACAACATATAGTCGACCATGTGAGAAGGTGCCTAGACGGACATGCAAACGATCAGTGAATGAGATGCAATGTACGACACAAAAAATATATTTTCATGAGAGTTCGTGCAACTTATATATTGATAGGTTATACATTCAGTCTATACAGAGACGAATGCGTGTGGTATCCAGTAGAACTAAAGGACAATAAATTCAATATAGTTACCGCGTTTCTGGTATTTACTGCATATTATATTTAGAATATTAAGCGAGAATTATATAATTGTGAATTACGCATTTTGACACAAGTTTTCCTGGTGTGGTAAATCAATGCTCATATTTTCCCAATGTCATACCTAACGGTGTACCACTGACCAATACACTAAGACTGTGATAATATCCTCAGTTATGGGATATAATACAAACCAATGCCATGGGCTTGAAAGAACGTGTGTTAGGCCTACTTTGGGGGCCAAGGTCGCCGTTATGATGTGCAACATTGTGCGACATTAGGCGACATTGGCAATTTTCAAAGAAAAGTAGTGTGCGTCGCTGGGCGTAACTGAGCGACATTGGGCGACATTAGGCGACATTGGACAAAACTGAACAGTAATATCCAGATAACGTCAAATATTATAATTCACAAATTATGCATCTACATAGAAAATACAACTGACAGTAAATATCAAAATATAATTTAGTTATCAAAAATTGGTTCCTGTGGCAAAGAACACAATTAGTTTATTACAAATAGCAAAAATAACAAGGAACATTTCTCTAATGCATGAGTCAATTCCAGGAGTAACCATCCCCCCCCCCCGGAACACACCCGGGCATTTGATTTGATTGGTTATGATAGTGTAAATGCCCAGGTGCCGGGACACAACTTGAAGACTAATGCACGGCTCCTGAGCAAGCTGAGAGTGGAAAATGCCCCACCCCGAGGACGATTTTACAGTCGATTTCACAAAACTTCGACCACAAATGTTCCGAACTTCGTTGCGAAGTTCGTTGCGAAGTTCGGAAGTTCATATTGGAATTCACAAGCCAATTTTTAAACAAAGCCCTGATTGGTCCGTGAAGTAAAATAAGCCAATCAAATGCGCAGTTTACTAACTGGTTTGTGAATCTCATTATGAACTTTTGAACTTCGCAATAATCTTGTGAACTTCGCAACGAAGTTCAAAATATTTGTGGTCAAAGTTTCGTGAAATCGACTGTAAACGTTAATTAAACTTTTAATAGCATATACTTATAGTCATTTAATAACATTATAGTATCAAACTGCTATGGAATATTATAAAACATAAACCTTTAATAGTTGTATTTAAATTTGCACGGTACAGGGTATAATTTTCGCTTATTCTTACAATAAATTTCACGCCACCTTGACCACAAGGGCGCAAAATACGATCAGTGCACCCACATGCTTGCCTGAAACTATGTTTTGCTGCCTTAAAATTTGTGGGTGGGATTCTGGGCAACCATTTGTCAAATCCCCAGGGTCATCCAATACCGGCCCCCGTGCACATATATGAAAGGCAAATTCCCGACACCCGTGAACTGTCTTTCGGGCAAATTCCCGGGGGTGTGCGGGGGGGGGGGGTTACTCCAGGAATTGAGTCATGCATAACTGCTAGCCTGACAATTCACTCAAAGTTTATACCGTAGTACACACACATGCCCAGTGCATGGTACATTTACAGTATCATGGAATTCTGACTTCTTATTAAATTGACTGATGTAAACACCTCATAGAGTTTTAAAACCTGTTTATGGACTGTGGTATGCAGTGATGGAAGTGAAATAATTGGCATTTAAGGTAAATAAATTGTCAGGTAACTGGCTATCATAAACGTGTACAATGTAAATCATGTACCACCATAACCATGCTTGTAATCTAACCCACCAAACTGGCAAACAAATATCTCAAATAGTGATAACTATAAATATTATAGTTTCAATAAAAATGGAACTTACTTTCAAAGCAAACAGATAGAAAAAAGTTTAATCCATATACATTTGTATGACTATACTGACTTACTTTACTAAAATTAGATGACAGTTCCTTTTAATACTTTAACTGAACTAATAAATAAATAAAATTCCTTTAATCCATAACCTCAGAGACCTGTTCTTGTTCGGCTGGGATTTGAGCCCGCAATACCACGGCACGTCTAATTTAGCTTCTAACTTGTACTACTTCGTGTAAGGAAGCATAATAATTGTTATGGCGGGCCTTGGCGACATTTTATATAAACAAGTTAAAACAACCTGTACCGTAGATCTTTCTGTGGTGCGTTCATTGCTCTGTATCTTTTGCGATGATACCTAATTATGACATGTCGATCATCGTAGCTTCGTCGAAAAGTAAGTACTTTTATTTTACAAACTAGAAAGTCGTATTGGGCTATTCCATTTAATATCCGTACCCCCCCCCCCTGTTGAAGATCCCTGGAATTCTTCAAGGGTAAAGGGTTTTGAGCTCGGAATTCTTCAGGGGTAAAGTGTTTTGAGCTTGGAATTCATCAGGGGTAAAGTGTTTTGAGTTTGGAATTCTTTTGGGGTAAATGGTTTTGAGCTTGGAATTCTTCAGTGGTAAAGGGTTTTGAGCTTGGAATTCTTCAGGGTAAAGAGGTTTGAGATTGAAAATTTTCAGGGGTAAAGGGTTCTGAGCTTGGAATTCTTTAGGGGTGAAGGGTTTTGAGCTTTGAATTCTTCAGGGGTAAAAGGTTTTGAGCTTGGAATTCTTCAGGGGTAAAGGGTTTTGAGCTTGGAATTTTGGAATTCTTCAGGGGTAAAAGGTTTTGAGTTTGGAATTCTTCAGGGGTAAGAGTTTTGAGCTTGGAATTTTGGATTTCTTCAGGGGTAAACAGTTTTGAGCTTGGAATTCTTCAGGGGTATGACAATGAAAAACATGTATCCTCGACAGGGGGGTACGGATATTAAATGGAATAGCCCATTTTGAACATACTATAGATGACTTTCTTTATTGATTTCATATACAACATTTAATGGCGTGTGATTGGCTAATTTGACTGAGTTTCACAAACAAACACATTGGAGAAGATAGCCAGAAGGCTGCCTTAACAACATAATTTAGGTAATTCTCATTGGAATAATGTATTGTAATTCATATACATATAAACGCCAAATAACCAAGCCTCATTAGTACTGGTGAGAGATGGTGCCCTAACAGCACATGCCCTTGGTGTTTGTGTACATGTATTTATGAAAAAAAACATGCAGAAAACTAACAAATAAATAAGGAATAGACTATAGTATGGACGACAAACTCAAAGTGCAAAATTGGGCATGCTTGTGTGAGATTATGCAACATTAGGCGAAATTAATTAGGCGACATTAAGCGAATGGACTGTCAGGCAAAGTTCAAAAATTGGGTGCACGTGGGCGAAAGTGGGCGAAATTAGGCAACATTAGGCGAAATTAGGCGACATTAGGCAACATTAGGCGACCTTGGCCCCCAAAGTAGGCCTGTGTGTAGCTTAGTATTCCAACTTACTTCAGACAATATTTAGCGCGACAATTTTAAAATACTTCACGGTGTACCATTTTCACCCTACAAAAGGTTATATATATATATATATATATATATATATATATATATATATATATATATATATATATATATATATATATATATATATATTCTTATATGTTCACGCTGTACCATGGTACACCGTCAATGCGCATGCGCTGTTATACGACAATAACAAAATCGGATTAGTCATTTAGTGCGGCGGTCACGCAATATATTTCCACTCAACAGCTAAGCGTTAGTCTGTCTAACAACACAAATAAGTATGGATAAACGCATTTTAGAATATTCTTAGTGCAAAATAGTTGGTATATACACTATGAGGTACATTGACTTGCTCTCCGACGTATATTAAATGCGTGCAAGTCCTCGCATGTGATTCTTAACCGCATTCTACACAAGCTATCGTTGCATGAGGGTATTATATTACCTTGTTGACCATGTGGTATTTGCTTCATGAAGCCTAATACATTATAGTGAGCCATAGTTACTACGGGAAGAGAAAGTCCTGCATAAAACACAATTTTTAATGCGCAATGCCTTGGTTATTGAATTTGAAAAATACAGACAATCCTGGACAAAACCATCTGCGACACTCTATTAAAACATTCCTTTGTGGCTTTTTTTACCAGCTAGACCGGAATAATTTACTCGTTTGCCCCCCCCCCCCGCCCCCCAAAACAATGTTGGACGTTTTATCCGTATTCTACGAATCCAATCAACATTGAATGGTGGGGGAAGGGGGAGGTTTTCTAAATTTACGATAACATTACGATATTTTGTCAAGTATAATTGGAAGTGTCGCAGATGTTTTGTCCAGGATTGTAGTTACGTATTTACGGTAATACACATAATTACATTCGTACAAAAACTCAGAACATGCACTTCTACGAACAACAAGACATAAAACAAGAACAACATTTAGAGCAAAACGTTTTCCAAGTCCTTGGCCTATTAACATCAAAACATGCATTAACTTTTTGAGTGTAATGATTACAGAGTTTAAGTTTCAATGACTGAATAAAGAGAGAGGATTTTATTTCTCCTGGCAGGCTGTTCCATAGTGGCAGTATCCTATTGAAAAATAGGTTTCGGAAAGAAGATGTTCTTCAACGGTTGGTCGGTATGAATCAGTAGATCTAAAGCGAGTGTGATGATTAGTAGAATTGTCTATAATATAGTTTTCAAGTGTTAAGTTATAATAACCTGCTTTGCATTTATAAAAAAAAATATCTTTTATTTGGAACCAGTATGAAATATAGGCATTAGGTTAAGTTTCTTTAAACGGTTTGTGTAAGATGAGGTGAAGTCTTGAAGGATATACTTGCATGGTCGCTCGTCTTTGGACACTTTCAAGACAAAGAAGGTCCCTAGATGTTGTTTGGGGTGCCCAAATTTCACTGCCATAACACAGGTGTGTACGAACAAGTGTCAAATAGAGAGAGCGTCGACAAATTTATATCAGTTAAATATGTGCAGGTACGTCGTAGAAATCCAAGCATGCTGTTTCCTTTGCAAACAATGTTGGAAATATGAGGCGACCATTTTAGGTCATTCGTAATATAGTATACCAAGATCCTTTTGAGTTGATTGAAAAGGGATTTGACTGGAGCATAACAAGTTATTCAACTTCGAAGTAGATTAAGACCAAAGACACAGGGCTTGAAGATCTGAATTGGAGGAGATTGGAGTCGTGTGGATTGTTTATGATTTTATAGCATTTACTCTCGTTGGCAAACATTGGTATTTTGCTGGGCATGGAAGGTGGATGAATTCCAACACAGCTACAGCCGCTCGAATTCCAGTGTGAACAAGTAAAATTTCGATCAATTTCCGTATGGTTCCAAATTTATGAGATTTCCATGTTTGAACGTATTCTAAGTCAATCGGGTTTATCTCGGGAAGTGAAGTTGGCGATTGATTGATATCGTAAGATAATTATTAAGTAAATGTGGCAAATTTTTATAAAGCACTGTTTGGTTAAAAAGGTGTCAAAGGTTGCCAGAATGATAATTTTAATGCCAAATCCATGGTCGAGAATTTTATATACTTTTAGTTATAGAGAATTTTTTTTTCAGATAATTTTGTCTCACACTGTCAAGAATATAGTTATGTTACTTTTATCATCAGGAAGGTTATTTATGCTCTCCAAACTGAATGTCACTATAACGGCGTACCGACGTTAATTTAAGGAAAAAGCATTTTTACTATTAATTGAAGAAAGAGATCAAGATCGAGTAATCCACAAAAGGTGGGAAATTTGTCTGAGCATGCGCGAGTAAAATGAACCACGCAATGGCGTGGAATACACGCAACGCGTGTTTACAAAAAGGCACAATCATGTAAATATTGCCAAATGTTTGTACAAAGTAGCCTAAATGACTGTTTTATGTTGAAAGAGTAGACATGATCTAAATTAATTATACAGAATTTTTTAGTGACGTTCATTTCAGTACCCTGCCATTGTCTCTGGTGGGCTATCCGTGTGCATTCGATCTGAAACAGTTGCTACTTTGCTGTCGAAGAATTTTGAATGTATACATGAAAATAGAGGCAAGTCATGCATTTTACAACCTCTTAAACTGTATGAGCCACTATTTTTACGCTTATACCTAAGATATCAAATAAAAGTACATGAAACAGAGAACATTTGTAGAAAGTTTTGTCGTGAGGCCACGGCCAGTTTTTAAAATATCTTTATTTCTGATCCGGTCATCACCAAAATTACACAAAAGCCGGGCTTGAATATACAACAAATTTTGAATCTCATCAAGCACAAAAATAGTTAACGTGTAACCAAAATATGTTCATGAAATCGAAATTAATAGCTAAATTTTCAACCTAGACCCTTCTCAAAGCGGTTTTCATGAAGGAAGTTCACATTTCGGCCTTTGATTCGTGGCAAAAATTTGACCACAACACGTGCGAAGCAACTGGGTCTCAGAGACTGAACTAAAACATTGTGAACCCCTATTTTCCTGACGATATGTTTGATACCTACAAACGCCAAAAAGTTTTTTCTTTTCATTTAGCTATATTTGAAATTGAGGCGACGGGGTATTTTTGAGAAAATACAGTTCAAAGTCAAGCTATTTTTACATATTTTCAAAATTTGTCAAATTTCGCGAGTTTGTATTTTGAACTTAGACAGCTGAAGTTACATTATGAAACATAGGATGGAAAATTTGAGGCATATAAAGTTAATTTCAACTTACATTTCATTCTCAAATCACGTCTTTCTTCGTTTATTACGGTTTTAAACAAGCCATAGATCGACGTATACGGTATTTACTCCCATGTTCACGTCGCCATATTAACTTCTTCCAATCACTCGATTACAAAACAATCATCCCAAAACAAAGAATTCATGATCGACTTTTAAAAGAATAACCAATAACTTGTATATCGTTGAATGGAAAGCAAAAAATCGTCAGCTAAAACAGCTTTTTGCTAACTTTCTGCTTTGTTTTGATTGTAAATGCAATGAGCTTTGTTTCTGCGCGCAATTTTTTGGTTAGCGACGACAAATTTCCCATCTGTTGTAATCCACTAAAAATCCGCGTATTAAATTAATATGTTTTTTTTTCATGTAACCATGCAGAAAATTTATACAATACAGTGAGTATGAACAAGGACAAGTCAAGGGTTTGGCTACACTGCGTAGTTGTAATAAATAACACCAAATATACATTGTAAACTTATAACCAGGGGCGTAGCCAGGGGGGGCAAGGGGGGGGGGCGGTCGCCCCCCAATCGCAAAAAAATATTCTCTGAAAAAGGCCAAATCCGTAGAGAAATGGAGGGGGGGGGTACACTTTACATCCTCGAAGCTGAAACGGATTAAGTACTTCTCGACTGAGGAAAACGACGAAATACTGGAAGAACTTGATTTCTAAAATCTCGTTAAAACAGTTGTAGATATGGTTCCAGTGTTTTTAGCAATATATTGACTGAGTTTGTTAGGTCTGAACAGTAGTATATTTGTATTCTCATGACAGCGAAAGCGACGGCGATAACGGAAATGTAACTTCGCGCGAACTATTTTCGTCTAGAGTAAATCCTGTTTAATTTTCCGACAAAGGGTCTGGGTTCCTTCGAAACGTTGAAGTTTTTCAGAGGCAGTTTGAAATTCTTCACACCACAGCTGTCTATATAATGGTAGCAATTAGCAGTTTTGAAATTATAGCTAGGATAATGAGCTCATACATGTAGAGGCTTCGTTTGAGATTACAACCGAAACACCCGTAAAGCTGGAATAAAAGCGCACATTGTTCATCAACCAATCAAAACATTCACCTGTACATAATTATGAAGTTAAAATATTCAAAAGAACGTCACCTAACCTAGTCTGAAGAGACTGGGTTAGGTGACGTTTTTTTTGAAAATTCTCGATTTGTCCGACACCTTGTCCTT